GAGCTGAAGGTTCGAGTTGCCAAATGTCGGTCTCAAAACCTTAATGACTTGGAGAAGATCTGCAAAGAGGAGTGGGACAAAATCCCTCCTGAGATGTGTGCAAACCTGGTGGCCAACTACAAGAAACGTCTGACCTCTGATTGCCAACAAGGGTTTTGCCACCAAGTACTAAGTCATGTTTTGCAGAGGGGTCAAATACTTATTTCCCTCATTAAAATGCAAATCAATTTATAAAATTTTTGACATGCCTTTTCTGGATTTTTTGTTGTTATTCTGTCTCTCACTGTTCAAATAAACCTACCATTAAAATTATAGACTGATCATTTCTTTGTCAGTGTGCAAACGTACAAAATCAGCAGGGGATCAAATACTTTTTTCCCTGACTGTAGATGTTCAAGATTGGTACAACTCAACAATGAATGTTCCTCTACTGCCCTCTGCTGAAAACATAGCCCCGCAGCAACCTCTTACTCAACGTGGTTGCCCATATAAGCACTATCCAGGCTCGTGTACCCTGCTTTAGCTTCTGAGATGTGAAGAGTCTGGGCGGCATTCTGGTGATTTGGTCATTGGCACATATTATGCAAAGCTGATTAAATCGTATTCCATTGTCACATACTGGTAGAAACCTCCTGGTTACACCACCCCACAGGGGGTTATTGTGTCTGTCCATCTTGCATCCAAAAATGGGAAGGGGTGGGGCTGGGTGGGGAGGGTGGGGAGGGGCTGGGTGGGGAGGGTGGGGCTGGATGGGGGGTGGGGCTGGGTGGGGCTGGGTAGGGAGGGGCTGGTCACCCCGTGGTGCCCTTATAGAACTCAACGTTTAACCTACTCACGCCGGCTTGTGCCCGCCCTCAGTCGGGCATATTTGCGGAATACACCACATGGTGCCGCTGTTGGCCCTGGCCATTGACCGAGCAACCCAACGTTCCTACCAGCTCCCTCCGCAGGAATGTGTTTGCCAACTTGTGTTGAAGTGGATGCTTAATTTCTGTCCCCAGGCATGCACGTAAGTGTATGTGTAGCAACTGAACTGTACCTACTGGTTTTTCAAAATTCAAGTTTGTCGTTCATAACATGTGCTCACTCGCTTAATAAGTAAGATTTAAAAAAACTTTTTTTTAAAACACGCTTCTATGAAATGTGCCGTACTAGTAATGGAAGAACTCCACGACGCTAGGAAGTGGCCCCGAAGCTTGCCATAACGTAAGGGACCGTGGTCAATTACAGCCAACGTCAGTTGACCGTGGACAATTAGACCCAAGCCGAAACATAACATATAAAATAATGTTTAAAAATATATATATTTTTATGATAGAATATAGTATTGTCATCAGTATGACATAAGTATACCAAGTTTACAGTCGCTACCACATTGGGAAGTGGGTTAAAATTGAGATTTGAGGATACAACGACAACAACAACAGACAGTGAGTTAAATAAAAGTGCGTAAAAAAAGTATATGTTTAAACAGAATGTTGTCATTCCCAGTGTAAATACATAGATATTTCAATATAGTATTTGTATTAATTGCAATATAGTATTTGAATGCAGTATTTGTCTTGACAAAAAAAATCTGAATTTGTTTTTGACATACAGAGCCTCATCAGCAGTCGGATCTGTTAAATAATTGCGGTGAGGTTGGTAGATGTTTTAGCAAAACTGCATGTTCCCAATCATAACATCTGGTTCCCAACCATAACATCTGGTTCCCAACCATAACATCTGGTTCCCAACCATAAAAGCTGGCTAGGGTGTGCAAGTGATTACACTACACTTGGTAGGATGGCGATCGTGTTCAGGGTATTGCATTTTTGTTTTTTAAATGGCTGGATTGCAGGTGGCTCCAACTTGAACACTTTCCACCTGTTTACAATCATCAGAAATCTTATTTAATGTCTGCTAAGTTGTAGGAGTCGATGGCATTAAACTGCACCTCGGTGGCTTTTATACATTTAAAGTATTGTGGTGAGCAGACTTCTCCATGCAATGTAATCGTTTTTCATGCAACTTTTTTTACTTGGCTCTACAATATAACTAAGACAAAGCACATGCCTCAAGAATTTGTACACAGTGCACCTCTTTATTGTGCATGAAAAACTTGACTGTTCCTTCGAGTGAAATAATTCTTTGCGTTAATACGCAAAAAAATATTTTTCACTGCTTAAGTATGAATTAGTGCATTACTTTAGGGGATTTTGCCAGTATGAATACTATACAGTATATTTGGCTTATTTCCAAGATATTTGGTAATTACTGAAATATCTTGAGCTCAATCAAATGAAAAGGTCATGCTATGCAAACTGGTTACTACATTAAGTTATGAACCTGGCCACATGAGTTCGATTTCCAGCCACGGTTGATGTTGGTGGCGAGTGATATATGAACCAGTCTTGGTTCCCCCTCCTTCACCAACACTGCACTGACTCGTGCGGTGAAGTGTGATTTAACAACCCCCACCACTGACCACGGTGTGGGCGATGCCATCCAACAGTGGATTGACAAACAAGCTGCAAGTTATATATACTCTATTGAAAATGTTGGAGGTTAGATTAATGGTTTGCTACTGGCTTCAGGAATCGTATGCTTGGATCCAACCTTTGCTGCATGATGCTCTCGTGTGGGGAAAAGTGCTGGTTTTACTTTCACGATACGTTTCCACTACCACCATGAATGAGACTTGGTGGCCCAGGAACAGTCCTGTTATGTCTGAATTGGCAGCACGGCGCAGGTCCGTCTGATTGACCCCCCCTTCTACCCTTTGCTACTGCTGCGGAAGCGATCTTAACCATTTTCACTGTCTGCCTCGGTGATATTCGGATATCCCAAGATAACACGCATTGTTTTATTTTAGCCGTATTTTTACCCAAAGGTTAGTCTAAGCGTGGGATACCATTGATATGTGTATCCTGCGTCCATGTTGGCTCTGTATACGAATGATTGGCTTCGAGGTAAGTGCACGTGTGAGGTATCTTGTGAAGGTTATCTCCTGGACCTGCTTACCCAAGCATACTTTGTGTTAGTTGGCCTAGTAGCACTTTCATAGGGCAGGAAGCCTGCTTCACAAACCAACCCAGCATGGATTTCTAGCGGTCATGGATACATAAGCATATATATCACAAGGAGATTGTTATATGACATGTATATGTCCAGCCCGGATTGGATGAAGGCCTCACCATGCCTTGGGATATGTGTTTATTCCTTACCACAATGGTCAGTGAAAATTGGTGGATTGCAGAACAACTATGGATTTTACTGCACTGCTACCTAATGCTCAGTGTCTATTATATCTGCATACTTATCACCCATCCAAGCACTGTCCAGGCTCCAGCCTACTTATGTTTTGATTATTTACGAGATTGCTAGCATTGCGGGTTATTTAACATAAATGCCAGACCCGTTGCTTTTTATTTGTGGCTGTTATCATACAATGCAACATTATGAACGACTGATCGGTAAGCGGTGGTCATACGGCTGTGATACACGGTGCAGCTATGTTACAGCCACCCAGGTCCAGTCGTGTTGGTTTGAAGGCGCCAGGAAATGGGAAGGGTGGCTGTCGGGGATGTTAGCAGTCTGCGAACCCATAGGTTTTCCTGTTGACAACCTCTTGTTAATTTTTCTCCATTGCCAGCTATAAACGAGTTTCCTATATTGTAGCAGATTGTTCCAATAGATAGTGTCATTTTTAGATAACTGATACGTTGTGTCTTTCATGATTTATAGACTGTTTCGTTTTCAGTTGTGTTATATATAAGTGGGGGAAGGTGACAGGTTTTTTCTTTTTTTCTGGTGATGTGCAGTAAAGGACACGATGCAATGTAAAACAATGAAGGCCATTAGAAATGTGCATTTTCTGTATTCGTAGTTGATTGGGTTTAGTGTTGTTTCAGTGCACCACACTTGGCGTTCAAAACTATTGAGTGCCAGAGATGTTTACATCTTTTGAGTAACTGCTTCTGTTGTCAAGTTTCGTGAGTGGATATCAAACATGGGCACTCTTAACACACGTTTGTTGGCTAAGAAATGTTTTAAACCACAAATAAAGAACAAGTACTTTCAATTCCTAAAACAAAAAAAATGCTTCACTTTAAAATATTAATGCGTGCGTGGGTTTCCTGTCGGTGGAAAACTGCCGACATCGGTAAGGTTTCTGATCATTGTGGTATGGTGATTCAGCAGAATAAAAAATAATGTGCACACTGTTTATAATACGCTAGATTGACAGATCTAATTAGTTTTTCACTTGTAAACAGAAGATAACAGCCCTGCATGCCGCCTTAACTTTTCAGTGCTGACATTGTAAGTAGCAACATTTTAATACATAGGACATGTATATAATAAATTGGGATGCCTTTAAAATACACTACCTATACCATATATATAAATGACGTCCTCTTTATTAATTATGATAATCTACTGCCCTTTGCCAATTCACTGCTGGATGAAGTCACCTCCCTCCCCCGTTTTCAAGTGTAAATAAAATGTAATATTCTTCTTTGTGTAATACAGATGGGTAATTCTCAGCCTACTGAGTTATATAGAGCTTATGTTTATCTTGCTTTCAAAAAGCATGCAGACTAAACAAAGATAAAGATCCACCATATATACTTAACAGACTTGGGGCATGTGCTGTTTGTGAGGGTAGCGTGGTGCACGAGATGGTGGTGTGGTGAACATGAAGCCTGGCTGCCTCTTTCTGCCCAATCCTGCACTGAGTGTACAATTAAGACTGAGTCAAGCTTAGGGAGGCCCAGGACCGGTTTGGATTACACTACTGATGTTAGCCATCGCTGGGAATCGAACTTTAGGTGACGGTGTTTGTAGGGCATTATGCCTAAGCACTGCGCAATGGCACCACCACCCATGCATACACACACACGCGTACACACGCACACGCGCACGCACAGTCTTGGAAACGTGCCAATAATGTATCGGCTAGATGCCCTAGATTTCACCCAACTCACACGCCACTTTGCTCCTGGACTTGTTGGCTGCAGCTTGTGATGGGAAAGGTGTCGGCAGGATGCTCAGGACTCCGCGATTGAAACGCCGCATGCCCATCTGCATGGCCATGGAAGCTCTGCGTCCTTGTCGGGGTCACATGGCTCTGCTGGCCACCCTCTGCCTTTTGTTGGCAGTTACGGTGAGGAAGCTAGGAACTGTATTATGATTAATATTGAATTATTTTCTCGCTCGGTGGTATTGTGATATGTGCATTCGTTTTTTTATTAGGATGTATTAAATTCCATGATTCCAATAGAATATTCCACTTGCAGTGGATTATTCACTTCCATTAATTGTAGTAAACTAATCCACTGCACGTGCTCATTAAATAATACTCTATTAGATTTTGATGTATGTGCTCAACAAGTGTTTAAGTATTAAAATGCATAGGAAAATCACGGCTTCATTCCCCATATTAAGATGTGTCCACTTGCACATATTCTTTGCTTTTACAGTCAGAGCCTTAAATGGCTTACTAGCTGTGTGCTCCTTATGTAATATTGCGGTAAAGGAGGTTTTTTATTTGTGCGTTGTGCTCTAAACCGGCTTTGACTTTTGTCAAATCTAGGTGATGGCTCAAGAGAGAGTGCACACGAGCCCTCCCCTCCTGTACGACAGACCCTTCCTGGTCATCTGGAATATCCCCTCGGAGCAGTGTAAGTCACGCTTCAGCGTAGACCTGGACCTCAGCATGTTCGACATGTACTCGACCCCAAACGAGGGATTCTACGGGCAAAACGTCACCATCTTCTACACCGACCGGCTCGGCGTGTACCCCTACATCACGGACGACGGGGAAACCATCTTTGGCGGGCTCCCGCAGAACGCGAGCATCACGCAGCACCTGGACAAGGCCCTGGTCGACATCGAGAAGTACATCCCCATGGACCAGACGGGCCGCTTGGCCATCATCGACTGGGAGATGTGGCGGCCTCAGTGGGTGCGCAACTGGGACAAGAAGGACGTGTACCGGCAGAGGTCGCGCGACCTCGTGCGCCTCAAGCACCCCAATTGGACGGACGCCATGATTAGCCAGCAGGCGCAGTGGGAGTTCGAGACGGCGGCCCAGCAGTTCATGGTGGAGACCCTACAGCTGGGCAAGAACCTGCGGCCGGAAGTGCTGTGGGGTTTCTACCTCTTCCCGGACTGCTACAACCACGACTACAAGGACAGCGAGGACAAGTACACGGGCGTGTGTCCCGACGTGGAGCTGTTGCGCAACAACGACCTGGACTGGCTGTGGAATGCCAGCACGGTGCTCTTCCCCTCCATCTACATGCCCAAAGCGCTCGAGTCCACCGCCAACGGGCGCAAGTTTGTGCGCTACCGCGTGATGGAGGCCATGCGGGTCTCCACCAGGCCGGATCCGTACAACTCCCTTCCCATCTACGTGTACTCGCAGTTGGTTTACATCAACTCCGATAACAACACGATGGTGGACTATAAGTCGGAGGTAATTTGACAGTCAAAAATATGTGTTGATGGATGTTTTGGAAATGTTATAGTCGAGCACATTTTTTTACCTTTGTTAAGTACATATTATAGTCTTGCTGTCTTATTACAATTAATTCTAATTTATGTTTTCAGTGCTGATTAAGTGTGTTTTTTTTGTAACGTAATAAACACATTGTTTAGAAAAAAATTCTGCTTCATTGCAGTGTAAGACGAAGTTTTTACGGTTTACTTGCATTATAATATTGACCTAATGTTACATTCCAAGGTAGCATGATTAATCAACTTTTAATCTGATGATGAATAGACTCTTACAACAGACTTTATTCAAACTGTTGCACTGCCGAAAGCAGAGTTCTTCAACTATATTTTCTGACAGGCCACAATGAGTGTGCTGGTAGGCCTTGTAACATCTTGAGGCACATATACAGACGTTAAGCCGTCACATGACATCATGGTCTCTGTACATATGACCACTAATCTATACTTCTCAACTTCAGGTCTCTCATGTTCCTAGTTAATCCCTCTCACATCTTACTGAAATGTACATCTCATCGATATCCCAATGGGTCTACTAGGCATCTGTGAAAAAGAGCTAAATAGCTCATCAGATTCTTCCACTCTAAATAAAGATTATAATTCTGGGTCGCTGGCCTGCGAGTCACCAGTTGAACAATCTGGCTAACGCACTGAATGGGCAGCGTGAATTAAATGCCATATTTACTGGCAGGGTGGCATAGTGGTTACACTTGTGTCTCACAGCCAGAAGAGACTACGTTCAATTCCTAACTCGGGCGACGTTCTGCGTGGAGTTTGTATACGATTCCCCTCTTTGGCTTGGGTTTCTTCTGGGTTCTCCAGTTTCCCTCCCTCCCCATAGCTAAAAAAAACCCTATACATTGTAACTTGTATTGTATGTATATTGAGCTGTACATAGCCAACTGTGCTAATCCCAATACTGAAGAATTTCCCACAACTTACTCAATTTGGATTACACAATGCAACATCGCCCCCCTACCGTGAAAACTTGCAGGACCCTCCTGAAAAAGAGTCATGGCACTTGGTGAGGCTTTCCTGGGTAAAAAAAAAACCCAATAATAAATAGCATTACACGAGCAGCATTAATTAAATTCCATGCTGACGATGTACTTTCCATTGTGTTCATGTTTCCATGTGTAGGTGGATCTAATCCAGAGCATTGGGGAGAGTGCAGCTATGGGGGCTGCAGGCGTTGTGTTGTGGGGTGACAAGAGGTATTCACAGTCAAAGGTGGGTGCCAGCTGTACTTATTATTATTTCAATTGAGAGCAAAACTGGAATATGTTAAAGAATTGTAAAATTAAGTGAGATTTTAACCAAAATTGGTGGTGGAGTCGAGAACAAAAACATAACGTATAAAGTCTTATTCTTAGTTTTTTCGGTAAAGTCACGTTGAAGAGAAACAACAAAATATATATATATATTTTTATTTTTATATATATTTTGTTATTTTGTTGTTTCTCTTCAACGTGACTTTACCGAAAAAACTAAGAATATGAATTACTGCAGTCACGAAAGCTTTAAATCAAAAGTATAAAGTCTTGTTTGGGCTTTTTATGTTATTACATTACCTAAGTAAACTGCTTCACCGAAAGACACCAGTGTTATCCTAAAACGTGCAAAGAAGAGTTTTGAGAACCAAAGATGTGCTTGGCAATTGTTTGACTTCGAAGCTCTGCCTTTTTCCAAGTAATTTTTTTCAGAATCTGCAAACTATGAAGGAGCCTTGAGTAACAATCCCAGCTGATGGTGCATCAACTGTACCACGCGGCTAACGCATTATTTTTGCCGTGTTCCTTTCAGACGCGCTGCACGCAACTGCAGGAGTACATTATGTCCACGGTGGGGCTGTACACGGTGAACGTGACTGCGGCTGCCACGTGGTGCAGCCGAGCACTCTGCGGCTCCCAGGGCCGCTGCAAGCGCATCTACAACGAGTCCGACGCCTACCTGCACCTCAACGCCAACAGCTTCAGCATCCAGCGCAATCGCCCGCCCCAAAAGGGTACGCTCGCCAGCCGGCCTCCGACGTTAACATTTAGGGCTGTGCATTCTTAAAAAAAACTATTAAGCTTTTTTTATTTTACCAGGTAAGATCCAGTGAACTATAACGCTCTTTTTCAGAAGCGACCTGGCCACCACAAATTATAGCTCAACGAAGTGGCTTATAACGGGAAAATTTATAGCAGCCAAATACTTGATTTGACACTTTCGTGACTGCAGGAATTCTTCTTCTTAGTCTCGGCTCGCACCTGGCTTGGCCTTTTCATGTATGTATGTATGAGTGTTGAACTTATTTCACACTGTACGTAGCTGACTGTGCCAATCGAATGTGGCCTAGCTCAGGCTTGAGCCGCTCTGTTGCTTCCAAAGTGGCATGAGTTAGTGGTGGTTCAGTCATGGTTCACGTTAAGCATGAGCTGGCTTATACGTGAGCCAGACCCAAGCCCGAGCGGAGCCATGCCTAAGAATATCCCTTCGAGTTGAAATTTGATCAGTCCGGTCACGAAGGTTTATTTTGTTGGCGAGGCACAGAGTGAACCGCTCACTTCTCTGCATTGTCGATGAGAGTGCAGTCACCGGTTGAGTTAGATCACATCGAGACATTGAGTGAAATGCTTGTGGTGTCACTTCTAAGGCATTCCACAACACTACGTATCACTACTTTCATAACATTTACATTGAGTGTGGTGAAGCATGTAACAAATCTGTCACCGTACAAGCTCAGGACAGTTTTGCAGCTGCGTTTACAGTTGCAAAGTGCAGCTCCTTTCTATTTAACCTTTTGAGATGTACCTCTTGTATTTCAAGCATGCTAGATATGTAAATCATTAATAGATGCAAAGCAACAACTACAATTTCACATTCGGTAATTGTGACATTGTGCTATAGTTTACCATGTTAACCTCTGAAACGTGTTGCTGTGCGACTGTGCGCCAATGAACAGGGTTCACCGTCTCGGGAAGGATGTCGCGTGCCGACGTGCTGAAGCTGCAGGCAGACTTCATGTGTCAGTGCTACACCGGCTGGAAAGGGCGGTACTGCGACGAGAAGGGATCGTACTCCAGCTCGCCCAGACTGCCCGCAATGCCGTGTGCTTTGCTTGGAGTGATCGCCACATTCCTTGTCTTGGCAGTACCCGCACTTTGAGAGAGAGGGACTACGCGTGCTAACATTGCTTTCAACGCAGGACGATGTTCCCACGCTCGCATTCACATAGACAGGAGGAACCGTGATCTCGTTGCACGCTGAATCTGTTAGCTATGAGCTCCCGCTTCGCAGCACATTGGACAAAGTGGTGTCTAAAGATCAGCTCGGTTTTCTTCAATATCTCAGAAGCAAGCGTGTTGGAGTGTCCGTCCAACTTGAGGATTCTTACAAACGTGCGTAGATGGAATTGACTTTTGAGTTGTTGCGCTGCTTCAGTCATGAATGCATATTAAACAGTGGTAAATTATATAACATTATACTGCAATGACAACACCCTCCTATTATTCAATAGGCAAAGTCCAGATCATCACCATCATTATCATGTACATGGGTTTTACCTACTGCCTGAGGTGGCAAACATCACAGGTACAGTTTTTTTTGTATATGGCCAATAAAGTTTATGTATGTGTTAACTTAGTCATTTAAATTGGTTATAAAAAATGGTTCACCTGTACTGACCATATAAGTACTCGGTACCACGAAAGATTTACCACGTCAGGTGGTAATGGTTTCTTCTCTAGAAACAAAGACTACATTTTTCACCCCCCCCCCCCGTCTGATTTATATATACAATCCCATATCCATTTGTGTGCTGGCTTGGAGTGTAACCCATGTAATCTGTATACATAGTCGTAAATAATTCTGCCTAACGTGAAAATAGATTGTCCGTAGGGGGTTTTCAATGCAGTCGGCTGAAGTGAAACAGGTTTTCACAAATGTTTGAAGGTGGGCTAGACCCCTCCCGTTTATTTGGGTTGTACATTTATTTCGTGAACCAGACGCAACGGATGCAAGTCTTTATCATCTTTAGTGTGGCGCCCTCCGCTGGTTTAAGTTGTTAGTGACGTTTATTTTATTTGGCGTGCCACGATGAATCACTAAAATCGATAGTTACGATATATGCTAAAGCTTGCGCATGAGAATTGATTGATTATGTATGCAAGTAATATGCAAATTATAGACCTATTTTCCATTTAGGCTAATGGAGTAGGCACAACTGCATTTAAGATATGAAATTACCAATGAGGCAGTAATAAACGATATTGAGTATTGAATTACAATTATGTCCCTGCATCTTGACTTTTGAAATGCTTTCCCTGGGGGAGAATTGCCTCATGTCTAATTATCAATATTAGACATATAACGCTCAGCTCGCAAGCGATTCGATGTTACATCAGGATTCCTGGTCACCGTGCGATTCAAGTGTTGATTATGTTTGTATGTTAGGCTGTTTAATTGTTTCTCAAGTCTTCTGTGCAGTTGTGTAAAATATTTGCTCCGTTAACTTATTCTAACATGGGCATATAGTTTTCTTAAATAAATAACAGTGGATTGTTACCTATTGATAACAATTGTAATAAAAACAAAACATGTAAAAATATGACAATGTTTAACTACTGCTAAGTTAAAAAAGGCTACGGTTATGTACATGTGGCCAACCTTCTAGTTGTATGAAAATGATAATTGTGATGGTGCACGTGTGTGGATGCACAAGTCAAACTGTTTAACAGTTCCGTTGAATCTTCAGCCACCGTATATGCAGAGTGCAGCTCCCGATTGTAGTCTTATCAATGTAGTCATTTCATAATACTCGGTCTATACGATGCTAGAACAGTGTGGTCATACTTGTATACCGCTATAGAAACCGATCTGTGCAATAGGCTATAATATTTTTTGTTAACTTCAGAACTGTTATTTTCACTTTGGAGAAATGTTACCACAATTGTGTTGCAGCTGCCTGTACTAACATTTAATACTGCCACTGCTGTATAATATTGAACGCATTAGTTTTACAAATCACCGATACATTTTGTTGTTAGCACGTCGTGTGTCGCAGCAGCAGCAGCCCCTTGATGCCTTTACAAAATGAAGAACGTGTGTCATGAGTACAAAGGGGTTGGTGGGGGGATGTTTACATGTGTAAAGCTGGCGATTGCATGCATCTTGAAAAGTAACGATAGTCAAGTGTTGCTCGGGCTGCTGCCAAATAATCTGCCCAAACTATTAACTCTGACATTGAATATCAGCAATCTAGATGTTAACACATGGGTTTTATGGCCAACATGCATCATCGTTGATTTTTTTTTTAGATGAGCCACGTGATTATCTGGCCAGATTTGCGTCGTTAAGACCCTCCACTGCCCCGACAGACAAACAAATGACACATTGTGAGCAGCAGCATTGTTTAGTTTTATTTTACAGCATGTCTGAAGTAAATTAACAATGTTTTATCAGTGATTGATAAGTACATTTCGTTTATTGGCAACTGAAAAACATTTTGAGCCAACCTGCACACTGGAGGTTAATATTAACTGTCATTGTTTGTGTAATTTATATTTCTGGGGGGGGGGGGTTAACTCCACGTACATAGGATTTTTTTTATTGAACTATACCACAAATACAACATCGTGCTTAACAAGCAGTGCAAATCATATTTGAATGGATGTAGTGTTACAGCGATCACTTTAGACTTGCAAGATTTCAGAAGGCTATAAAGTTAGTTGGGTGTGTTAGTATTTCGTTTCACACCATTAGCGTTTGCTTGTATTATGTAATGGGTGGCTGTGTATGCATTACTGTAATGTTCCATCAAAACCAAGGCCAGCATATTTTAGTTATGTATAATTAAAATTACTGGGGTGGAACGAGGGGGGGCACAGTCATCAGCGCATTTCGCTATCAGCCTGTCGACCCTCGGTCGATTCCCAGCCATGGCTAACATCAGTGGGCAAGTGATCTCTAAACCAAACCTAGGCAGCCCCCTTCATCAAGCCTCACTGACCAGTGTGAAGTATGGTCAAGCAATCTGCATGGCCATCATGGTGTGCGGAAGCCATCCGGCAGTGGATTTAAGTTAGGTTGTAAGATTTTTTTTAAAGGTTAAGTTTGCATAAAGAGATCAGATTGCATTGGAGTCGTCAGAAATATGGATAAGGCATTTAACTTATCCATACTGATAATACAAGTCTGTGACTTGTAAAAGTTGGTTTCTTATGTCGTTTAAAGTTATTCAGAGTCGGGAAAAATGTTGAAAAAAATATTTTTCATTCATATAGTAGTAAAAAAACCATATCAAAAAGCTGTTGGATAAATGACTGCTCCTGTGGGTTTGTGTCGATTGCTTTGTTAAAAAGAAAGTAGTTCGGTTTTGAATATATACTGTGCTGAATAGCTTTAGAATATGCCTGTGGAATAATGACTTGGAGGTCTGACCCTAACTCGGTATACAGCTGATGTTTGCACTAGGGTTGACAGTTAAATACAGATGGAGTTATGACTGCATTGGTAACTTTTGTTTGGAATGTATTGTTGGCGTTTTTTTTAAATATCAGTAGTTTGACTCAGCTATTGAGCCACGTTCTGTTAAAAAAACAAAGGGCATGATTTTGAGTGCACATTTGTCGAATACATGGGTCAGTCCATAGTATCGTGATCAGAGGTAACTGTCGATATTAAAACACACTGCATGGAAATGCATCAGCGACGCAAGTATATTTTTTCTAATGCTGTATTGTATATTGAATTAAGACAACAGTATTTGCCGTGTCTCGTACATTACAAAAAGTCACGATTCCATCTTATTTGGACTAAAAAAAATATTCTGAATGTGGAGATGTAACGGAGATCTGCTGATATGTGCTTCTAACCATACTCCTCCATAAGCACGCATGCATTTGTAAGCAATATTGGTATTTGTGTTGTACAGGGCCCCATCGTTTAGCTGGAGTTCTCTTGACAATAAAATCTAGTAATCCTGCAGAATTTGTTTAACACGCTGGACTGCTGATGAGACCTAGAACGTCTAAACCAAGTCAAGAGGTTTATTCTAACAAATGCCATTGGATAATGTGCATTTTGAAAGCCAGTAGGTTTGTGGAATAAAAAAAAAAGGTATGTGGAAACACGGCCAAGTTCTGCTTCTCTACTGTTTAAACTTGACAATGGTTAATTTATAAATGAAAATAACCTAACTTTCATGTGGTAAAACAATTTGAGCCGAACACATTACGTTGCTTTCGACTGACTTAAAGCTGGTATTCATGACAGCAATTTTTGGGAGTCACTTTCGAGCTGAAGGAGATATCACCTGAGAAGGCATTGTATCCCGAGTTGAGGCTGGTTGAGTTCTCCGTGTACCACTGCAGGTGGGACATTCAACCGAGCCCCGTTTGAGGGTACGGGCACATCGATGTGTATGTGCCGTTAACGCAGTGAGTTTGGAGCGTTGAATGCAGTCTGCAAATGTGTGTTACATGCGGGTCTGGTTAACATAGCTCCACACAACACATTAGCTGTTTTATCCACTCAGCTTATTAGTAGCTGAGAGGACATTACTTTATGATTGTTGAATACAGATTTATCCGAAAGGAAATCAAGCATTCACCTATTTTAATTGTGTGTCCTCTGTGCGATGAGTGAGCAGAGCTGTCGATGTGATGTCCAAATACAGGTTGTAAGCACATACTCTGTACATCTTAACAAGTTTTATCTGTGAAATAGAATGCGATACTGGAATGTGTTTTGATGATTCATTAACAAGGCATTTAGACTGTTATAGTATGCCATTCGAATTCTTCAAGAATATGCTCACATTTATTGTGTAGCTTTCGGGGTCTTACAGAAATCCGAGGAGGCTTATAGTCGACCTGGTTTGGTTTCCAACATGAAGTTTGAAACACGCCACTTACAGCGAGGGAAAAAAGTATTTGATCCCCTGCTGATTTTGTACGTTTGCCCACTGACAAAGAAATGATCAGTCTATAATGTTAATGGTAGGTTTATTTGAACAGTGAGAGACAGAATAACAACAAAAAATCCAGAAAACGCATGTCAAAAATGTTATAAATTGATTTGCATTTTAATGAGGGAAATAAGTATTTGACCCCTCTGCAAAACATGATTTAGTACTTGGTGGTAAAACCCTTGTTGGCAATCACAGAAGTCAGACGTTTCTTGTAGTTGGCCACCAGGTTTGCACACATCTCAGGATGGATTTTGTCCCACTCCTCTTTGCAGATCTTCTCCAAGTCATTAAGGTTTCGAGGCTGACGTTTGGCAACTCGAACCTTCAGCTCCCTCCACAGATTTTCTATGGGATTAAGGTCTGGAGACTGGCTAGGCAACTCCAGGACCTTAATGTGCTTCTTCTTGAGCCACTCCTTTGTTGCCTTAGCCGTGTGTTTTGGGTCATTGTCATGCTGGAATACCCATCCACGACCCATTTTCAATGCCCTGGCTGAGGGAAGGAGGATCTCACCCAAGATTTGACGGTACATGGCCCCGTCCATCGTCCCTTTGATGCGGTTTCCACCTCCATGTTTGACGGTGGGGATGGTGTTCTTGGGGTCATAATCAGCATTCCTCCCCCTCCAAACACGGCGAGTTGAGTTGATGCCAAAGAGCTCAATTTCGGTCTCATCTGACCACAACACTTTCACCCAGTTGTCCTCTGAATCATTCAGATGTTCATTGGCATACTTCAGACGGGCATGTATATGTGCTTTCTTGAGCAGGGGGACCTTGCGGGCGCTGCAGGATTCAAGTCCTTCATGGCGTAGTGTGTTACCAATTGTTTTCTTGGTGACTATGGTCCCAGCTGCCTTGAGATCATTGACAAGATCCTCCCGTGTAGTTCTGGGCTGATGCCTCACCGTTGTCATGATCATTGCAACTCCACGAGGTGAGATCTTGCATGGAGCCCCAGGCCGAGGGAGATTGACAGTTCTTTTGTGTTTCTTCCATTTGCGAATAATTGCATCAACTGTTTTCACCTTCTCACCAAGCTGCTTGGCGATGGCCTTGTAGCCCATTCCAGCCTTGTGTAGGTCTACAATCTTGTCCCTGACATCCTTGGAGAGCTCTTTGGTCTTGGCCATGGTGGAGAGTTTGGAATCTGATTGATTGATTGCTTCTGTGGACATGTCTTTTATACAGGTAACGAGCTGAGATTAGGAGCACTCCTTTTAAGAGTGTGCTCCTAATCTCAGCTCGTTATCTGTATAAAATACACCTGGGAGCCAGAAATCTTTCTGATTGAGAGGGGGTCAAATACTTATTTCCCTCATTAAAATGCAAATCAATTTATAACATTTTTGACATGCTTTTTTCTGGATTATCTTGTTATTCTGTCTGTCATTGTTCAACTAAACCTACCAGTAAAATTATAGACTGATCATTTCTTTGTCAGTTGGCAAACGTACAAAATCAGCAGGAATCAAATACTTGTTTTTTTTACTGTATATGCAATTCAGCATTATTAATCCTAATTTTAAATGGTCAATTTGAATACAGCCACAATATAATCAGGATAGTTTACAGTTATAAATTAGATTCATAATGATTTATAATGTGGTGATGCTGAAATTGATCAATTCCCATTGGATTTTATATCGAACAATACAGTATTGGTGTGTACATTTGACTTAAAGCAATTGAGTCGATCTTGGAATAGTATTACAATTTCGAAAGCTAATATGGAGCACTTTTAAACAGAGTAGATTGCAACATTTTCATAATTGTGTTAAATTGTATTAGAAGTAAAAGATATTTGGAGTGCTATAATCGCTTTTGGATTGTTTAAAGTATTTTTTTAATCTGGTCAAATTAATCTACTGATTTATTGTATATATACACATGTTGTGGTTAGGGAATTATGTATTGATTTAAACGTAACATTTGATAAACGATTCACATTTAATTTGGACTAATTTTTCTAACACTTGATTTTTACAAAGGTTAATGATGTTTTGCATTAACAGTTAATTTGTAGTTATCTGTTAACTTATTTTTGATGGACATGTAACATGAATATGCTAATATCAGTAAATTAAAGGCTTATTATTTAAACCGACGTTGTGTTTGAGTTTTTGTGTTTTATTCATCCAATACGTACCATGTAATATTCAACCTTTTAATGTCAACATACTTGGGAATACTGCGCTTTCATTGTATTCTAGGGCAAGCTTTTTGGCACGTACAATCCACTGCTTTTGAGGCGAGAGTTAGAGAATTACACAGATTTGCAAAACGTATAAACCCACTGTACCGACAGATGGCCAGGAGATGGTACAGCGAATGCATTCTTTCTACAGCCCATCTCTGGGAACCTTTTTGAGTGTTATCTTTGGATACTTGGGTTTCGGACACTCAGAATATGGAATTAGATAAACATTCCAATGCAGGACCCTCCTGTAATAGCTTTGAGTCTTAGTGGGGGCATTCCTAGAAAAACCTCTGTAATTGGTTTCCCTCATACACCTCAATTGATGTAACTGGCATTTGTCCAAATTTATATTGAATGACATGGATTATTTTATCCATTTCCCTCATTCTCGCAGCGGCTTTTGGCTAACCATCTAACAGACAGTCACTGCATCGTGCGCTGTCAGATGCGCTTCTGTGCACGTCTGGAACGCTCTTCCTATATTATGCTTTTTCAATAATTAAGAAACCACTGGAGCTATGCACGTTTAAATGTAAATTGAAAACTCATTTCTTTTGAACTGCTCTTTGTGCTTATATTTTTATCCTCCCACACCTTTATTATGAAGAAGAAGTTCAACACACGCAGCTTGAACTTCTTTTCTCACACTTGCTGGCAATTACTCTTTTATTTACATTCCCATAAGCTGCATCACTAGCAGTCCACATTTTCACAAGCATCTATCTCAAAAGGCTTACAACTGATTCTAGGGGATTAATATTTATTTAGCACATATATTCAGCAACATCTCTATTGCCTTACAAAAACTGGAGGCAACTTATTAGAGACTTGGAGCACCAGATGCACATCTGTACCTTGAATTTAAAACTACACTCATGAGATGGGAGTGCCAAAACATTGTGTGCCATGCCTATCAATGGTTTGCTGAAAATGTAGATTACTCTTGAGAGCAAACTATTCATAAGTTTAACAATAGTTTAACACGTAGGCTTTCGTGACCAATATTCATAATAAAGGTTTTTGGGTTAGATCGCGTTTATTTATAAATGTGTCGTAACCCTCCACCACCCGACACGGCCAATCAGCAAAAAAGTGTCACGTTGACAAAAGACAAATCATTCACTACTTTAGCCCACCGGTGTGTTGAATTATTAAATAATACACTACATTTTGATTTAAATAATTACTAATCTACAACTCATTACTAATCATAACCAATGACTGATTACTAATCGATTATATAATTACAATACCCCCCCCCTCCGCCTCTAATCACTGCACCTGATATGAGTTAAGTGATGACGTCACCCTGCTGCTCTATATAAAACCGGGAGCAAGCGAGGGCTTTACCATTCTGGCGAATTGCCCGATGATGCTGGATGTATTTACCAGCGAAACGTCGTACTCAAACTGTAAATGTGGATTCACTCTTCAACACACCGGTGGGCTAAAGTAGTGAATTATTTGTCTTTTGTCAACGTGACACTTTTTTTGCTGATTGGCCGTGTCGGGTGGTGGAGGGTTACGACACATTTTTAAATAAACGCGATCTAACCCAAAAACCTTTATTATGAAGTTTAACAATAGTTTACAGCACTTTTGCTGGTCATCCAACAGTGGATTTCTGACAATCTGCTTATCACAAGGGTCTCCCCATGCAATGTTTGTCCTTGGGGTTTGACCATACTTCACCAAGCTGGTCATAGTGGGTTCGTGACATGGGGGCCCAGAACAAGATTATATATAGCGCAACACTGATGTTAGGGGACGTCCGTAAATGACGTCACGCACCTAGGGGGGGAGGGGTCAGACATTTGTGACGATGTGTGACGAGGGGGGGGGGGGTTGAGAAATGTGACGTCACATCAAAATGCACAACTTTAAATAAATACAGACAACACGTTCTACTTAATTAAATATACTTTTTAATAAATGTTTTCTCCTACAACATCAGAGTGCAGCG